CCCCCCCCCCCCCCTCACTCACCGCCAGCAAACGACTCCCGGTCCCCACCACCGTCCGCATCACATCCCCCACTGGTGTTCCCAGCACCACTGTCCTCACCACCGCTGTCCCCACTGGTTCCACCACCGCCCCTACTGTCCCCACCAGTGGCCCCACCACTGTCGCACTGTCCCCGCTGTCCCCAGAACTGTTCCCACCACGGTTCCACTCTCCCCACTGTCTCCACGGCCCCAACCACTGCCCGACTATCCCCACTGTCCCCACTGTCCCACTGACTCCTCCGCTGTCCCACTGAGCTGTCCCACTGTTCCCACCGCTGTCCCCACTGTCCCCACCGCTGTCCCCACTGTACCTCTGTCCCATTGTCCCACCGCCGTCCTCGCCACCGCTTTCACCACTGTCCCCACCACCATTGTACCCTCCACTGTCCCACTGTTTCCACCTCGTTCCCATTGTCCCCACACCACTGTCCCCACCACCACCGTCACCACCACTGTCCACTGTCCCCCCCTGTTCCCACCATTGTCCCCACCACTGTCCCCACCACTACCGTCCCCACCGCTGTCCCACTGTCCCACTGTCCCCACCACTGTCCCGCTATCCCCTCACCACTGTCCCCACCACTACCGTCCCCACCACTGTCCCACTGTCCCCCCACTGTCCCCACCACTGTCCCGCTGTCCCCTCACCACTGTCCCCACCAACACCGTCCCCACCACTGTCCGCACCCCCACTCGGTTTTCGAGGGAGGGGGGGGGGGGGGGTTCGAACCGGTAGTGACCCCCCCCCCTTTTCTGAGGGGGGGGGGGGGGAGGGTTCGAACCGGTAGTGACCCCCCCCGGTTTTCCGAGGGGGGTGGGGGGGAGGGGTTCGAACCGGTAGTGACCCCCCCCGGTTTTCCGCCAGCAGCGGTAGAACACGCTCTTTCAGTGATCACAACCATCTGGTTATCGGGACAACGTCTCGTTTGTGGGAGTGGAGGGTGAGGCAAGGAGCGGGGACAGGGAAAGGCCGGGAAAGGAATGGATGGGAACGGAGAGGCGGTTAGGGCATCAGGAAGAGGCGCGCGATTCGTGCGTCATGCTGCCACGTAGATGTCCGCTCGCTTCGACGTGTTCTTGGTGTCAGCGCGGCGATGACAGAGCCAGGGGCCAAGGTCGGTCCCACCTCCTACCGCCCCCCCGTCCGCTTCCTCCACCTCCTCTCTCATGTCATGCTGCACCTCCTCTTCCTCCGCCTCCTCGTGCGCATCCTCCTTCTCCTCGCCTTCGTCGTTGACATCCCCCCCTCGCTCTTCAAGCGAGGATGCTTGAACAGCCAATAGGGAAGTCAGCTCGACTCCCGCCCAACAAGCCCAACCACGCGCAAGTCTCGGAGTAGCGGCGCGTACGTGGGAAGAGCCATTCCGCGGGGCACACACACACACGATCACGAACACGAGCGCGTGTCTGAAATACCAGGCCGCATTCCCAAGCACCATTGCACATGACAACCACAATTGCACACTACGGCGCAATCATAAACACACGAGCGCACACACCGCACCGATAGACCCCTGGTGGTAAACCTGCGATGGTCCTCAAGAGCACCCGTAATGTTGGGAAGGCGATCTATAGATGACCAACGCATGTAATGTGAAGGTGCCGGCGAGCAGGCGACATCCTGGGTAATTATGTCTCCACTCGCTTTTGATGAGCTCTGCCGAAGTCTGCCACTCAAAGCGAAGGCCGTGGATGCGCCTTGCACAACACGCAAGCAACAAAATGAGATATCCGCAAGACGTGGAGCTCGAGCATCCTCTGAAGCCGTTGCGAACAGACTGGTGCACGATCTGCAATGCAACGTCCGAAGAGCACGCTGCCAGTCCACAGGCCCACGAAGAATCTCAATATTCGAGAGCCAACATTCTTGAGGCATCTCATTCAAGCACCTGCCCCGGCAGATTTGCCAGGGCGTGCCAACGCAAGCGCTCTGCACACCACAAGAAGGGAGGTTGGATCAGACGAGTGGGCCGGATGACCAGGATGCTGATGATGCTGATGCTGATCATGCTGCTGCTTATGATACTGATGATGATGCTGATGCTGATGATGATGCTGATGATGATCCATCCGAGCCAACCAAGCCAAGAGAAGGGACTTCCGCTCAGGGCAGCCTGTGTGCGCCCAGCTGCTAATGATGCTGCTGCTGTTGCTGTTGCTGCTGCTGCTGATGATGCTGCTGCTGCTGATGCTGATGCTGATGCTGCTGCTGATGATGATGATGATGATGATGATGCTGCTGATGCTGATGCTGATGCTGCTGCTGCTGATGATGATGATGATGCTGATGAGGATGAGGAGGAGGAGGAGGAGGAGGAGGAGGAGGAGGAGGGAGAGGAGGGTGAGGATGCGCCAGCCCCTTGAACGCCGGCGTGGGAGACGGCTGCCCCACCCGAAGCCCACCTGGGGGGCGGGTGGGGATCTGCCAGCCTGGAGGCGTCGGGGCGAAAGAGGGACTGCACGTACAGCGGAAAAGGGGATCAAATAACTGCTCATTTCAGAACCACGGGCCAGCTTCCCAGAAGTTTGTGCAAACAAGCCTGGGCCAATTTCTGTAGTCGCCGCTGGATGGGGCGAACGTGCTCTAGAAATCGCAAACCTCCCAGAGGGCATGGGGCAGAAAGCGCGCGCGGCCAGGTCGCGCGTCGCCGGCACCTGCAACGCGGGCACTGACGCGCGGGCGCCCTCGACGGCCGCCACTGGCGGCTCCCGCAAGGCACTCCTTGCCATCCTCGGGCCGCGCAGCGGCAGGTCTTCCGCGCTGCCCGCAGACAGGTGAACCGACATTGTTGGCGACCTTCGCCTGGCAGTTCGAACTGGATGAGGTGGGGGTACCACCGGCCACAGGCATCATGTACGACCAGCTCGAATGGACCTCGACCAGCTCGAATGGACCTCGACCAGCTCGAATGGACCTGGCCTGCCACAGGCATCATGTACGATGACTGTGCCATCGCGTGGCTCATCCTCCCGCCTGGCTGTCTGGCCCACGTGCTCCGAGCGTAAAGATCCCCCCTCCCCAGCGCGACCTCGGCATCCTCGCGTCGGCGCCCCAAGGGGTCGACACGTGCGCCTCCGCGCGCCTCCTGCGCGCCGAGGGCCTACTCGCGTGCGCCCCCTGGAAAGCGGGGCTCCTCGTCAACTGCCTGGCCGGAAGCGATCGCGCGCAGCGGCGCCTCCGCCGTGCCAAATGCACCGCCGGATCCCTGGCGCGCCGATGCTGCGACCAGGAGGAAGAGACGCAGGTTCGCATCGCGCGGCGATGCCCATGCTGGGCCCGCCGGCGCCGAGCCCTGTTCGCCATGGGCCCCGACCGCCAGTGGGCCTGGTTCCCGCCGCGCGCGCGCCGCTGCGGCCCGTTGTCGGAGGGCCCTCGTCTTCTCGACCTGCAGCAGGCCCCGGCCCGGGACCCGCCCCCTCGGCCGGCCCCGCGGCCGCCGCCGGACCTCGGGCAGGACGTAGGGCCAGAATGCTCTGACCCAGACGGCGCGCGCTGGGTTTGCGCGGCCACGGGCGGGGCCTGCCCGCGCCAAGCCCGCCCGCTGGGCCGATCGCCGCCTCGACCACTCTGCCAGAGTCCACGGGCTGGCTCAATCCGCTCAGCGCGCCGAGGCCCTCGCCCTCTTCCGCGCGGTGTCTACCGATGAAAGGCCAGTCCACATATTCGTGGACAATCGGACGGTGGCCGACACTTTTGGGCTTCTGCTCAACGGCGCCCGCCCCCCCAGCCAAGGGGGAGCAGGCGTGCCTCTGGAAGCGAGTGCATCAGGCTGTCCACTTCCGTCGCGACTTTTTCCGAATTGAACAAGTCCGCTGCCGCGAAGGTGAAGGAGGGGTCAATGCCAGGCTGCTTTTAGCAACCGCTGAATATTTTAGGAGAAAGGCAGACGAGCTGGCCGCGGGGGCGGCAGCGCTCCGCGCCGCGCTGGAGGCCCAGTGAGACGCCACCAAGAAACGTTTTAGGCTGAGAGTGACCCTCCACGCCGCCGCGGTCACCATCTTCGACAAGCTCGCCCGCGCGCGCCCCTTGCCCCGCCGACGAGCTGGGCGCGCTAACGCCGAACTCGGGCGAATGGAACTCAGCCCGCGGGCGGGCGCAACAGCCGAGCTCCCTGCGCCCTCGGCTGACGACCGCGCACAACCGGTCTCGGGGGAGTATGCGCACCTGGCGATTCACCGCCTCCCGTCGTCTCTCGACGGCCCTGGCAACTTGCCGGCCGCCGACGACTGCGAACCCCTTGGCCTCGGAGGGGATATGGGTGCCTCCTCGGAAGACAACGGGCCCCCGCACGGCGTGCAGCTCAATGGCGGGTCACCCCGGATCCAACTTCGCGCGCAGGGTCGGCCTCGGGCGCGGCCCCCCCGCGACGCCGCCCCAACGCCGACCGCGAGCAGGGCCCCCGACGGCGTCGTTGATGAACCGCCCCCGCCCCCGGATCCAAGGGTAGCTCACCGCGACAGCAGTCGCGGCAGAGAACGTGCCTCACCAAGCCACCGCGTGCCACAAGCAGCAAATGACCCGCCGATCCGACGCGCGCTGGAGGCCAGAGCAAGATGGGTCGACCACCTCGCTCGCGTCACCCCCTGGTGGCTCCCAGACCTGTGGCCCCGACAGAGGCAAGCAAATGTAGCTCCTCTGCGGCGTCGAGGAGGTCCTCCGTGCTGTCCAAACGGCGGCCTTCGTTGAGCTCTACATGGACCTACCGCCACGGGGGGCGATCGACCTCCAGAGGCGACGCGCGCGCGAAATTTGCGAGGAAGCCTGGGGGCGATGTGGCCAGGGGCGCCGCGACCGTCGCCGACGCATTGTCGCGCTCTCGGGCCACGCGCTTAACCGTGCAATTCAGCGGATGAGCGACGCGCGCCGCGACGCCATGGATGCCCGCTTGGACCGCCTCGATACCCCCGCAGGGTTGCCAAGGGCGTCGCTGGCCCACCGGGGTCTTCGCGTGGCCCGCGGCCCCGCCCTTCCCGCCGGAACGCGATGCGCCGCGTCCAAAGGCGGCGCCCTCGCGCGGGCCCTCTCCGCAACGGCGGCGCGACCGCGCGGCCATGTTCTCATTCGACGGGCACCGCTGGTTCGGGCGCGCAGGCCCCTTGGCCGACGGTGACGGGTCAAACGACTCTGACCGCCAAAGCCCGGGGGGCCCGCCCGACCCGGCACCGGGCCCCACCTGGCGCCTCCCAGGCGTCGACCTCGCGGGAACAGCGCAGCGCGGCCCCCCGCCCCGCCGTCGAAGAAGCCGCGTGCCCGGCTCAGCCGGCGCGGAAAAACGCAACAGAGATGCCCTCGCGAGCAATGCCAGCGACTCTTCTATGGGTGACGGCGAAAACCCCCTACCTGTCGACCCCAGGGCCACGCCTCCCTGGCCCGGGTCCACTACGACTGCTGGCCGCCAGTCGCAGCCGCGCCAAACCAGTCGCACAACCCCCCAGGCTCAGCCTCGGGAGACGGGTCTATCTCTGCTCTCGCGGCTCGCCAACCAGCCCAGTCAGCGGGGTCAGCTGGGGGCGCGGTGCCCCCAGGCCCGCGCCGGCGCGGCGTCCTGCGACCCCCGACAAGTCAGCAGGAGCGAAATGGTCATGCTCTACGATCCCCTGCCGCCGCCGCCGCAAGTCAGCCTCCCGCGCGGGCAACCCAGACAGCCGACGTCTTGATTTTTTCGAGACGCGGGCCCCCGACCTCCCGACCACTTCCTTGTGACCGGCTTTTCATCCCGAGTCGGTTTTTGACGGTCCCGAGGCCCGGCGAGGGCCCCGAGAGGCCGAAAACTTAGAAAAACCTCCGTCTCGATTTTTTCGAGACGCCCGATGCCTGGCAATGCCTGCGGAGTCTTGACGCTGGCGCCTGGCTGCCGGCCACCGACCCCGACCGCTTCTTCCAGCAACGGGCCGAGTGTGGCGGCGATGGCCTCCTCCTCCTCCTCCTCCTCCTCCTCCTCCTCCTCCTCCTCCTCCTCCTCCCCCTCCTCCTCCTACCAGCAGCGCGGCACCCCTGGCCTGCCTCCCGCGGCGGTCCCCGACCTGCCTCGCCCTGTGGCCCTCCTTCGCCGCGAGGGCCCTGGCCGCCTCGGGCGCGCGCCCGCGCTTTCCGGGTATCCCCCCCCGCTTCGGGCGCAGGGCGAGCGCTGGGGAATCACGCCCGTCGTGCGCAGGGCCTGGCACGCCGCCTTCATGGCCGCGCGGGCCCTCCGCCCGTCTCAGGGGCACGCCGCGCAGGCCCGGGCGCAGCCCGCGGCAGACCGCTCGACGCGGCTCGAGCGCCAGCTCGCGCATGTCCAGTCCTTTTCTGACCATGTCCGCCGCGCGGCGCGACGGCACCTCAACGCGCTGCGTGAATGTCACGCCACCGTTCAGCGTCAGTCCTCGCTCGCCCCTTCGGCGACGAGCGTCTCCGCCTCCGTCGCCCTCCACGCGGCCCGCGCGCTTCTCGTCAGAAGCCCGAGCTGACCTCCCCTTCGAGGCCCGTGCGCCGCTGTGCAAGCGTCCACTGTGGCCTTCCCACTGCGGGTCCTGAAGGGGTCTTGGATATGGATGCCGCCACTTCCAGCGAGGTACCGTCACGCCAAAAACGGGTACAGGCCTCGCTTAACCCACCTGGTGGGCTCGGACCAATATGATGCAGAATCGCAGCTCCACCATTTGCTCGCTGGGGGGGGTCCCCCTCGCCCCTCCCACTCCCGCCTCCCCTGGCCGTCTGTCCCAGACGGGCGTGTAGAGCCCCCTTTTAGCCGACTCGCTGCGGCCAAAGATCGGGGCGTGCTGGCCGCTCGCCACCGGGCACCTGCGCAGACACCCGCGCGAATCGGTCCGATCTCTCTCTCTCTCTCTATCTCTTTCTCTCTCTCTCTCTCTCTCTCTCTTCTCTCGGCTCTTGCGATCCATATCGTTTTTTTTTTTTTTTTTTTTTTTTTTTTTTTTTTTTTTTTTTTTTTTTTTTTGTTTTTTGTTTTCTTTCTCTCTCTCTCTCTCTCTCTCTCTCTTTGTTTCTCACTCAGTATCTCTCTCCCCCTCTCATGATATCCTCTCTTTTTCTCTCTCTCTCTCTCCTCTCTCTCTCTCTCTCTTTGTTATCCTGTTTCTCTCTTACTCTCTCTGCTCTCTCTTCTCTTGATATTCGTCTTTCTTTCTCTCTTTCTCTCTTGTGTTTATCTCTATCTCTCTCAATATTTCAGTGTGCTTCTCTCTCTATCCCTCTCTTCTCGCTCTCCATCTCTCTTTGCCTGCACGCAGCATTGGCCTCAAACGAATACCAAGAGCTCGGCGGATGTGGCGCCAACCAGGTGAATGTGGAGGAGGAGGTGGAGGAGGAGGAGGAGGGGTAGGAAGAGGAGGAGGGGGAGGAGGAGGAGGGAGGAGGAGGAGGAGGGGTGGGGAGGAGGGAGGAGGAGGAGGAGGGGAGGAGGGAGGAGGAGGAGGAGGAGGAGGAGGAGGAGGAGGGGAAGAGAGGAGAGAGGAGGAGGAGGAGGAGGAGGAGGAGGAGGAGGAGGAGGAGGAGGAGGAGGAGGATGAGGAGGAGGAGGTGGAGGTGGAGGATTCACGGCTGTCGTTTAAGGCACGGGTAATATTTTACCGCTTCGTGCCCTAACAATGGTGGCACGCCATGTTCTGGATGCAACACTTGTGAAGATGCGGCTACTACCACGCCTATGCTGTGCAACACTCGCGCCAATGCCCTCCACTGCGCGGCCTATGACCGCCCATGGCCTACACGCGGGCCCTTTGCACGGTGGCTGGTAAGCCCCCCACCCCCATGCCTGACACTGCCACCTATCCGTTCCACTTCGATCTCTCCCCCTCACCTCCGATTTACATGGGGCATCCTCCAATGCGCGGGGACTGCGTGTCCCATAACAGGGGCTGTGCGTCCCATTTGCCAGGACTGTGTGTCCCATAATCGAGACTGCGCGTCCCAGTTGCCAGGACTGCGTGTCCCATAACAGGGACTGTGCGTCCCATTTGCCAGGACTGCGTGTCCCATAACAGAGACTGTGCGTCCCAGTTGCCAGGACTGTGTGTCCCATAATCGAGACTGCGCGCGTCCCATTTGCCAGGACTGCGTGTCCCATAACAGGGACTGCGCGTCCCATTGCCAGGACTGCGTGTCCCATAACAGGGACTGCGCGTCCCATTGCCAGGAATGTGTGTCCCATAGCAGGGACTGCGCGTCCCATTTGCCAGGACTGCGTGTCCCATAACAGGGACTGTGCGTCCCATTTGCCAGGACTGTGTGTCCCATAATCGAGACTGCGCGTCCCATTTGCCAGGAATGTGTGTCCCATAGCAGGGACTGCGCGTCCCATTTGCCAGGACTGCGTGTCCCATAACAGGGACTGCGCGTCCCATTTGCCAGGACTGTGTGTCCCATAATCGAGACTGCGCGTCCCATTTGCCAGGAATGTGTGTCCCACAGCAGGGACTGCGCGTCCCATTTGCCAGGACTGCGTGTCCCATAACAGGGACTGTGCGTCCCATTTGCCAGGACTGTGTGTCCCATAATCGAGACTGCGCGTCCCAATTGCCAGGAACGTGTGTCCCATAGCAGGGACTGCGCGTCCCATTTGCCAGGACTGCGTGTCCCAGAACCGGGACTGCGCGTTCCATTTGCCAGGACTGTGTGCCCCATAATCGAGACTGCGCGTAACAGGGACTGTGCGTCCCATGTGCCAGGACTATGTGTCCCATATTCGAGACTGCGCGTCCCATTTGCCAGGAATGTGTCTCATAGCAGGGACTGCGCGTCCCAGTTGCCAGGACTGCGTGTCCCATAACAGGGACTGCGCGTCCCATTTGCCAGGACTGTGTGTCCCATAATCGAGACTGCGCGTCCCATTCGCCAGGAATGTGTGTCCCATAGCGGGGACTGCGCGTTCCATTTGCCAGGACTGCGTGTCCCATAACAGGGACTGTGCGTCCCATTTGCCAGGACTGTGTGTCCCATAATCGAGACTGCGCGTCCCATTTAATTGATCATGGCTGCGTGTCCCATAGCCCATAGTTGGGACTGCGTGTGCCATGCGCCTGCCCTCTGGGAGGCCCGCCCCATCGGCCATAGGCCATGGGGCATACGGGCTGGAAGGCTGGAGTGCGGGTCGCATAGCATCACATCGCAACCGCATCGCATTGTGCTTTGGTGTCAATTATGGCTTGCGCACGAAAAACATGGCAACTACTGCGCCTACCTTACTACTCCCCTCTGTGTCAAATGGGAACTACTACTATGCCGTACCCCGGCCGCTATTACTCGGATACTGTGTAATCTACCTACGGATGCCTACCAGGCGAGACACGGCCCACGACTGTGAAGCCCGTTATATGGAATGCGCCGCCGTCCTCCTTGTGGAGGGGGGCCGCTCCACGACTGTGAAGCCCGCTTAACCATCCTACTCTCATCCTCCCTCAACAGGAGGGCCGCCCCACGACTGCGAAGCCTTATTATCGCCAAACTCTTACCTTTGCCCTTCGCTGTCACTTGTTCCCCCCACCACTAAGTGGCAATTCATCCCTTCCCCCCAGACTTTGAAGCTTGCCCACCCCCCTCTCACAATGAGAGGCAGGCGAACAACGCCCCACGACTGTGCCCTTTTAACAACCCCACTCTCATCCTCCCTCAACAGGAGGGCCGCCCCACGACTGTGAAGCCCTAACATTGCCCCTCGCTTATCCCTTTACCTTTACGGTCACGTGTACCCCCCCCGACTAGATAGCAATACCTACTCGGCAAACCCCTCCCCTACTACCATTTGACAGGCTGCCCCACGACTGTGAAGCACGGCTATCCCCTTGAAAGCTACCCACCTATTATGGGAGCGGCCGCGGGGGCGAACCTTCCAATACTAAAATTCGACACCTACTGCTACAAGAAGGGCCCCACGACTGTGGGGCACCACTAACCCGGACTGCGCCGTGGCCGCCTCTCTGGTGGGCGGTGGCCTGCCCCACGACTGTGAAGCCCCCTAAAGCGCCAGCCCAGGCCCCAGGGCCGCCCCACGACTGTGAAGCCTCAGGGCCGCCCCAAGACTAATATGAACAATGCAAGGCGAACCTTGTTGTCCCGGCTCGCCGGGCTCCTTAATCTTCCCCCCCCCACGTCCACTAAGTAGTCCTGTCGGCACTAGCAGATTCCAAGTCTATGAAGGGTGCTGCGTTAAATTGGGGTGCCAAGGGGGCCACGCTCCCAGCCCCTTAGTCCGAGGGGTCTGGGCCCTTCTGCCCCCTACAAGTGTGAACCCTACATGATGCATACGGTCTCCGTTGCTTCTCTACCCCCCTGGCGTGGCTGGGGACTGGCATTCGCCCCAGCCCACGCTCTGATTCTAGCCCTTCCCTAACCCCCTCAGGCGGTTACTCCTTGTGCTGGGAGGGCACTTGAACGTGCCTCTTGCCACTGTCGCCCCGCTGTTCACTCCCCTGGGGGCTCTGCTGGGGTGCTCGTCGGGCGTGGGGAATCCACGCCCTTAGTGGCGCCCCGTGCGTCCCCAGCCGACTCCCCCAGAGGAGTATAGAACAGCATTGGCACGGGGGGGGGGAGGAGGAGGAGGAGGAGGAGGAGGAGGAGGAGGAGGAGGAGGAGGAGGAGGAGGAGGAGGAGGAGGAGGAGGAGGAGGGGAGAGAGAGGAGAGAGAGGAGGAGGAGGAGGAGGAGGGGGAGGAGACGACTGTAAGGCGGCGGTGGATGAGGAGGATGGCCTCGGTCTGGACCGGGCGGGCCAGCGTCCTAAACGATCCTGCGAAGACAGCAGGGCAGATGCTACCGCTGTATGGCCTAACTACGAACAGCATTGTTAGCTCCGGTGAGGCGACTCTTGCAGGAGCTCCTGAGGACGAAGCCGCGTTTGGAGGCAGAAATAATGGCATAACCATGCACGTTTGACGGTGGATTTCTTGGATCTGCGTTGGACCCCCCTCCCTGGCGCGCGGACCGCACCAGGGGCGGCGCTGGAGGCGCCGCCAGGGGGGCCCCAGCGCGGACCGCCAAAAGTTTATGTTTTGTTTTGTTCTTCGAAAGTTGCACGCCGTGCGGCGAAACCACCACCATACCCAAATCCACAATCCGTTCCCTCGGCTGTCCTTGCTACTGCTCTGACCTGCCGCTTGTCGGGGGTTGGCAGAACTGGGTTTACTGGGACCTGGTTTACTGATGTGTGCTGGGGGACGCCCCCCCGCCCCGTTCCACCAACCGGAACTGCTGTCACCCGAAAAAACACCAGCTACGGCAGACCTGGTTTAGTGATTCTGGCCAATTTAGGGGCTCCAGGGCCCCGGGTCCCCTTATCTAGGGTCCTGGTTATACCCGAGCTTGGGCGCGCTGCCGAGAGCGGTGCCCGCGACTGTCGGACTGGTCCAGGGCGCGGGTGGCCTGAGACATGCCAGCTGGCGTGCGGAAAAACCTATGCGTGAGGGCATGCCCCGCCGCGGCTGTCAGAACGAAGTGCGTGTGGAATTGCTGCCTCGTTGGGAGTCGACCTTACTTACCATTGCCACCAGATTTTTTGTAGCAGCTCCTCCATTTCTCCTTTGACTTGTGGGGGTGGAAAACTGCAGCTTCCTGGTCGGAGCAGTCTCTCGGAGCGCAGTAGTCGTCCGCAACGAGACTGCCAGAGTGCACAGCGGTCGCACCCAGCTTTTGCATGCACTCGGCCATGTACATGTCCTCACCCCAGCCCTGCCACGACATTCCCATCTCGCACTTCTCTTCGCCGGCATCCCTGTACAGCTCCATCGCCTCCTTCGAGAACACCTCGATCGACCCGTAGAGCCACCACTCGCCGTCGTGGAAACAATTCTTGTAGAACGCCACAGTCCCAGTGGAGCCGGAAGCGACGATGTGCTTCCGAACGCGCTCGGGGAAGATGACGGCGTCGGGGTCGCCCTTGATGATCCAATCGTGGTCCCACAAAATGCCACTGTTGACGAGCATCTTGATGGAGTTGATGAAGATCTGGGTGTTCAGCCACGAGTTGGTCGTCTCGCCGGGGTGGTTCTTAATGTCGCCCATCGTTACATCGTCCACCTCGTTCACCCACGACCAGATGTCCCTGTTCTTGTAGTCCTTCCCCACCAAGACCTTCTCGCCGCTCACGGTCACGGTGGTGTCGCAGGCGAAGATGCCCGCACTCAGCCTGCAGGCCTCCTCGACAAGATCCTGCTCCTTCGTGTGGGCCCGGAACACTGCAAAGCAGAAGAGCGACGGCGAGCCCCACTCGTGGAAGATGGAAACGGTTGTCGTGGCCGACTGTGTCGTCGTGCCCGTCACCGACGTGACAGAGGTATGCGTCTGCACTGGAAAGGGCAGGAGGGCGTCGTACGGCGCCGTGGAGCATATCCTGACCAACTTCTTTTCCTTGGCGTACCGCGCCCAACTCTCGCCACCACTCTCGCTGGCTCGCGGGGATTCGCTCTCCGTCAGCCGCCTGGCCTGCTCGGCGGGGTCAAGGGCCTCCGCGGTGGCCTCGCGGTGTCCTCCACGGGGAGCGTCGCCACTCTGCAGCCTCCTGCCCGCTTGCCCCTTCTTGTCCTCACCAGCAACGTTAGCAGACCTGGCCTCGTCGTCCGCTCCTTCGTGCCGTTCGTCCTCGCCGTCGTCGGCGTCCTCGTCGTCTCCGCCATGCTCCTTGGTGGCTGACGCCCCCGCGTGCTTGGTCGGATCCAGCTGGCACCCGTCGTTGAACCAAAGCGCGTCCTCCGCCTGTTCCAGCCGGCTTGCGGCGTACCTGCAGATGGCCTGGTCTGGGATGTCGTACGCATTCTCCTCATCGCAGTCGCCGTCCGCCAACAAGTAGGCGACCTCGCGCCTTCTCATCAATTCTGTGACCTCTCCGTCCAAGTACCCGCTCGAGTCGAGGCGGATCTCCATGTAGCCGTCCATGCCAAACAGCTTGAGCCAGTGCCCCCTCTCGAAGCCGAGGACGACGGTTCCGGCCGGGACGGCCCTGACGACCTCTGAGCCGGTGTTGTTGCGCCTCCTGATGTTGACCAGCCCTCCGGCATAGATCACCTCTGAGGGGAAACGTTAATGGGGGACCGGCTCAGGAGGGGAAACATCGACCTGGAATCGGCGGTGTATCTCCAATAGGCTGGAGATAGGCCCCCGATTGCGACACCGTACGTTCCTGGGCGGGGTGGGCTGTCAAGCCTGGCCCCCTATCGGCGATGAATGGTCGATTGGATGTCGATGCAGCTCCCCCCGAGCCTATCCCCCCCTGTCATTGCCCCTGACCTTCCGCTCCTTGGCCTCTGGGGGACAGAACCCGAGCCTGCGGCGGCCGCTCGGGACGACTCCGGCAACCCCGGGAATGCTATCCACGAGGCGCAGCTGATGGAAACCAGCCTGGGCCTTGAACACTTTCGAACAGCTTCCTGCTGGACACTCCCCCCTTTGTGAGCCCACCCTCCCGCGCAACGCTGCCCCGGGACCTCCCACTCCGACGGCCATCTCTCCTCGACGGCCTCCTCGGCTTGCGCCTCGACGGCGCCAGGAAACCACCCTGGGCCTTGAACACTTTCGAACAGCTTCCAGAAGCTGCTGGACCCCCCCCCCTTTGTGAGCCCCCCCCGCGCAACGCTGCCCCAGAACCTCCCACTCCGACGGCCATCTCTCCTCGACGGCCTCCTCGGCTTGCGCCTCGACGGCGCCAGGAAACCACCCTGGGCCTTGAACACTCTCGAACAGCTTCCAGAAGCTGCTGGACACCCCCCCCTTTGTGAGAGCCCCCCCCCCCCCGCGCAACGCTGCCCCCGAACCTCCCGGGACGATTCTGGCAACCCCGGAATGCTATCGACGAGCTTCTAGAAGCTGCTGGACACTCCCTCCTTTGTGAGCCCCCCCCCCGCGCAACGCTGCCCCCGGAACCTCCCACTCCGACGGGACGGCAACCCCGGAATGCTATCCCGGAGCCCCGGAATGCTATCGACGAGCTTCCAGAAGCTGCGGGCCACTCCCCCCTTTGTGTGAGCCCCCCCCCCCCGCGCAGCGCTGCCCCGGAACCTCCCACTCCGACGGCCACCTCTCCTCGACGGCCTATCGACGAGCTTCCAGAAGCTGCTGGACTCTCCCTCCTTTGTGAGCCCCCCCCCGCGCAGCGCTGCCCCGGCACCTCCCACTCCGACGGCCACCTCTCCTCGACGGCCTCTTCGGCCTGCGCCTCCACGGCGCCGGCGACCGCGTCGAGGAGGCCGCCCGGCGCGGGCGGCTCCGCGGGTGGCTCCGCCGCGGCGGACATGAACCTCGCGGGGGCGCGCCGCAGGGAGGCCATCTCGGGCACAGGCAGCGCCCGTACACAGGGGCAGTTTTCTACACATTGTTTGTTTGTGTGTTTTGTTTATATTTGTTTGTAAAAATTATCGGATTGTAATACATGGTTAACGTATGAATACATGTATGCATGAGCTCATCGTTGTTTTGAATGCTAAATCCCTGTATTTTCTAATCCATGATCCGCACGCGGAGCATGTAGGAAAACCGGCACTGCCGTGAGGATGTGCGACAAGGATGCGAGGGCCTGGCCCGCCGATCTCGAGGCTTTCGGAGCGCGGGGCGGCCAACGAAAGTGGCCGAGGATGGCACGAGTAGGCAAAGATGCAAGCGAGGGCCTGGCCCGCCGATCTCGAAGCTGTCGGAGCGCGGGGCGGCCAACGAAGGATGCAAGCGAGGGCCTGGCCCGCCGATCTCGAAGCTTTCGGAGAACGGGGCGGCCAACGAAAGTGGCCGAGGATGGAACGAGTAGGCTATACCCTTGGGAAGGCTCCCCATCCCTACTGTGCGGGTTGACTGTAGGCCACCCCGCCTCCCAGGAGCCCTCGTGCAAGACCCAGAGATCCGATGCCGTTTTTTTTTCAATGCGGGGTCCCCGGCAGTCTCGACCCTTTCCCCGGGACCCGTTCTTCCTGACAGTCCTGGGGCCCGGCGAGGGCCCCCAGAAGCCGAAAGTCGAGAAACACCTGCGTCTTGATTTTCTCGATGCGCTGGATCTCGGGGGACGAAGCCCAGGCCGGGACAACATCGCACCAGGGCACATCGGGGATCTCTGCGGTCCAGCGGCCGGCGGTCGCGGGGGCTGCGCCTCGGGCGCCGCGGCCGCTCCGAGAGCGCTCTGAGGGCCTACGCTCCACGGTCCGTCCTGGCCCTGGGCCCGCCCGCTGCTGCCCTCCAGGCGGGCCCCCGCTGTGAAGGCCCGAGGAGGAGGAGGAGGAGGAGGAGGAGGAGGAGGAGGAGGAGGAGGACGAGGAGGAGGAGGAGGAGGGAGGAGGAGGAGGGAGCGGAGGAGGAAGAGGAGCAGGAGGAGGAGGAGGAGGGGCCCCCGCCCCCCTGGGGAGGCCGCCGCCCCAGCCCTCGGCAGCTACGCCCCCGCCTCGCCGCCCCCCACCCCCCGACCAGCACCCGCCCGGCGCCGGCCCCCCGGGTGGAGCCCTCCCTCGGAGGCCCCTCCGGGCCTCGACTCTCCCCGAGCTGCGCTTCTGGCCGCGCCCGGACGTCCGACGTCTCCCGCCTGCTGCGAGACGCGGCGCTCGCTGCGTCCGCCCCCTGGTTCGGCCGCGCCTCCCCTGTTTCCTCCTCCTCCTCCTCCTCCCTGTTTCTCCTCCTCCTCCTCCTCCTCCTCCTCCTCCTCCTCTGTCTCCTCCTCCTCCTCCTCCTCCTCCTCCTCCTCCTCCTCCCCCTCCCCTGTTTCTTCCTCTGGTAAGGTGGCACACTTCGCTCTAACGGCCCCCCCTCCCCCCGTTGAGGCATCCCCTCGTTGCCAGCGCAGACGCCTCCTGCCTACCCATACATCCGACGTCTCGATTTTTTCGAGACGCGGGCCCCGACCTCCCGACCGCTTCCCCAGGACCGGTTCTTCATCCCGAGTCGGTTTTTGACGGTCCCGAGGCCCGGCGAGGGCCCCGGGAGGCCGAAAATGCTGAAAAACCTCCGTCTCGATTTTTTCGAGGCGCCCGATGTCTGGGTATGTAGCCGCCGCTGCAGAGTTCTCAGGACGCGGGCCCCCGCCCTCCCGACTAATACTTCCCTGGGGCCGGCGCTCCACCCGAGTCGTCTCTTTGACGGCCACGCAGCCAGGCGAGGGCCCCGGGAGGCCGAGGACGACGAAGCACCTCCGCCTCGATGCTTGCGAGACGCCCGAGGTCTGGGTGCGTTCCCGGACCTGCTCGCGTCGTAAACCAAAAAGTCAGGACACGAAATTTTTGACCGTCTTCGGCCTCGGGGGGCCCTCGCCAGGCCCCGGGGCCGTTGAGAAACGATGCAAGATGCAAAACTGGTCGCGGGGAAAGGGTCGGGACCTCCGGGGACGCCGTACGGAAAAGATCAAGACGTCACGTCTGGGTTCCCAGACCCCCGACGTCATGATTTTTTCATGACGCGACCCCCAGAGGTCCGGACCCATTCCCCGGGACCGGCTTTTCATCCTGAGTCGTTTTTTGACGGGCCTGAGGGCCGGTAAGGGCCCCCGGAGGCCGAAAATAGTGAAAAACCTCGCGTCGTGATTTTTTCATGACTCGAGGGGGTCTGGGTTGGAGGCCTCCCAGATGGGATCCGAGAAGGTCGCCCTGAGAGGCCTCTCCTCGGGCGCATCGAGGCGGAGCCGGGGAGGTCGCGGGCCCGCGTCTCGAGCAGATCGAGGCGCGGGATGTCTGGGTATGGTGAAGGGGCCCTGGGACACACAAATAAATACACACAAGTAAAAAGACCCCCCTATATTTTCCCACATTTTCTGGGTTTTTGTCTTCCCCCCCACTGCCCATATTTTCCCATATTTTCTAGGGAAAGGACGATTCATTGTGTCTGTTTGTTTTTTTCTCTCCTGGTATGGGCCCTCTCTCGCCACTCCTCTCGGCTAACCGTTGTAAGCGTAGTCGTCCGCCAGGGTGCCCTCGGGTGTGGGCCGAAGGGGATCTCTCGGCCACCGGGTCCGACGCGGCAGCAGCGGCTTGCGCGCTTGGGTTCGGCCCTCCGCGCCCCCCTCAGACCGCGCACCAACAAGGCCACTCGTGCCCAGCCCAGATCATGCGCTACCCAAAAATTTGGGTAGCGAAAGCCGCTACCGGTCGTTTCGTTTTCGGCGCCCCCACGCGGTAGCCGCTACCGGTCGCGACTGGTCGCGACCGGTAGTGGCTACCAGTCGCGACCGGTCGCGACCGGTCGCGACCGACGCGGCACCAGCCCGAATCTACCATCTTACTTTCATCATACTTTTTCAACATGCAGAGTATCACATCTTACATGTATCTTACGTTTTGAAAACGTAAGATGGTCATTATGGGACATGATGCAGGATGTATGATGTATGATGCACGGTGATTGAATGATGCATGATGTCTGAGGTGTCATGCATGATCTACGATGCATGGTGTATGATACCTTACTGTACCATTTATGTTGTATAGTGTACGACTTAGGGAGTTCAGATTTGACGTATGGACGTTGTTGATCTCAGAACAATGAGGTTTGATATATGATGTATGAGCAATGAGGTTCGAGATATGGATGTTGGTGCTCATGATGATGGCGTAGGATGCACTTTAGTTGTCGGATGGTCTTTCGGAGGATCGAGGATGGGAGTTCGAGGGTCCAGGATCGGGGAGCTCGGCGAGGATGCGAGGATGCGAGGTTCGAGGAACAGTCGACTTTACCACACCCCCCTGCCCCCCCCCCCTCCCCCCCTTTCAGAAATCACCACGCTGGATGCGCCTCGAAGTTCTTTGCGGCGCAAGCCTGGGCCCCCCAGGGCCCTGGCGCGTCGGTTCGAGCCCTCCACCTCCACCGCCCCGCCCTGACACTTCCGTCGTCGAGTCGTCAACGCGTTGGATTCGCCTCGAAGTTTTTGGCCGCGTGGGCCTGGGCCTCTCTGACGGGCCCTTGCACTTCGGTTCGGTATGAGCATCGTCGCCCCTTTACATGTTTCCCTATTTATCTCCATTCCCCGCATCTTCCCTTTTACCATTATCAGCCCCAGCACCGTCGTCGCCTCCCTCCCCCATTGCCTCTCTCGTCAGATGCCTGTTCCTCTGCTCACTTCTCCCCCCTCCCTCTTCTTCCCCTCCTTCCCTCTTTCTCCCTCTCTCTCTCTGCTCGTCCCCTCCTCCCTCCTCCTCCCTCTTTCCCTTCCCCTCCCTCCTCCCCAATCTGATTTTGGCTCTAGCTTTGGCGGGCCATGGCGGACTGGCCCGCCCCTGGCCATGGCTCTAGCCATAGGCAGGCTCTAGTCATGGCCTTGGCTCTGGCCTTGGCGGACTGGCCTTGGCTCTAACCATACCGCTTTTTCACCGCGTCATCGTTTCCCCTGGCGGTCTAGATATATTGACCGTCCAGGGGAGTTGGCGCCGAGCGCGGGCATCGAGCTCGCCGCAGAGGAGGAGTTGACGCTTGAGCTGCCCGACGGGCAGCCCAAGCGCCCCCGTCCTCCTCCTCCTCCTCCTCCTCCTCCTCCTCCTCCTCCACCGCGCTGCCTGCCGCCGCGTGGAAGGGGCCCGCTGCCGCGGTGGGCGCCCTGGTAGTTCGAGGTGCCGCGGCCCAAAGTAGGCCCGCCACTGCGGCATTGCGTGGCCTGGAATGGCGCGCCGCGGTGCTGGTTTGTGCCATTCTGGGATCGCGGTACATTCCGCGGTCGGGACGATCCACAGACCATCGCGTCGATCTGGGGGGACGACTCGATGGACGACCACCCGTTCGGGTGCCCCTGGGTTTCGGACATCGTTCTTTGAGGGGGGGGCTCTTGGGCCCCTTGGAGCCATCGTGGAAGCCCTCTTGGGGTCCCTCTTGGGGCCCCTCTTGGGCTGTTGACGCTGTCGGGCGAGTTCGGGCGCCCGTCTCATCCACTGCCGAGGTTGCGCAACCTTCGCCAGTGAGCCAGGTGGCGAGATCATGCTGAGATCCCCCAGTCAGATCCTCATCACCACCCTCTCGTCGTATTCTTCATCCTCCTTCGACCCATCCTCCTCCTCCTCCTCCTCCTCCTCCTTCCTCCTCCCCCCCATCCTCCTCCACCTCCTCTTCTTCCACCCCCCCCTCCCCCCATCCTTCTAAAAGTTGTTAAGAGCCCCCTCTGCGCCCCCCCATTGTCTAACCGCGCTATCTGGCACCTAGCCCACCAGCATCTGGCACCCAGGAATTAAGGTTCATAACTGATAATAAAATCCTCGCGCGTCGTCCTCGCCAGAGGTGGCACTGCCCTCCTAGGCCCTCCTCCAGGCCCTCCTCCAGGCCCTCCTCCACCTCGCCCATGGGCCCTCCTAGCTAGGCCCTCCTCGCCCTAGAGTCGCC